CGTCCGTGACCGTGGCCGTGACCGTGGCCGTGGCCGTGACCGTGGCCGTGGCCGTGATCGTGGCCGTGGCCGTGATCGTGGCCGTGACCGTGATCGTGACCGTGACCGCGACCGTAACCGCGACCGCAACCGGGAACGTGACCGGGACCGTAGGCGTGAACGTGACCGTGGCCGTGAACGTGACCGTGGCCATGATCGTGACCGTGAACGTGACCGTGGCCGTCATCGTCGCAGCAAGTCACAGCGTCGGTCCGGGAGATGGGAGTACTGCCATCAAAGGGAAACATGTTCCCAAAAGGGGCAAAAGAATCAACGGCAGTAAGTAAATAAGGTATTTGCACATCTTTGAGGGTCCAGAACATAAGGTACGTGTATGTGAAAAGAGGGTCTGGGGACTGGAGTTACTTTGCCAATACCATGGGATCTGTTTCTAGGGGTCCAAGGCAGGTGCATACAAAAGTCTACTTACCAGTGCCTTACTTTAGACAATCGTCACAGCGCAGGTTGGAAGTCGTCGGCATGGCTGGATGCCGGTCTTAGAAGGGGCTGGAAAGTCGGCGAAGAAAGGAAGGTTTTCCGATTGAGATAACGGGAAGGTGTGTTCTGGCAGTCAGGTAGCGATAGCAGGTGTTTTGTCGTATCGTCGTGGACAGTTGGCATGAAGGGGAAGGCGCATGAAGCGATTGATAGGACAGATGGAAGCCGTAGAGCACAAAGGACCTTCTGCCCTTTCTCTCATGCGTGTAGACCATACAATGCCAGAGTTCTCACGGTGCTGCAGACAGAACTTTTCGTCGCATCTTACGTCCTGATCTGTACAGGAGATCCCGAGTATCAATCGTACGACTCCTATGTGAAGAGCCAGCAGGCTACCTGGTCACCAACTCAAAGATGACAGACGAACCGTTGGTACGGACCGAAAAGTGAGGACATGCGCTGATACGGACGGCTACATTGTTCTGAAGTCGAAAAGTCAGGACAGGCGCTGATGCGGGCGGTTACGTTGTTCCCGACTCGAAAAGTGAGAACAGGCGTTGATGCGGGCGGTTACGTTGTTCCCGACTCGAAAAGTGAGGACAGGCGCTGATACGGACGGCTACGTTGTTCTGAAGTCGAAAAGTCTGGACAGGCGCTGATGCGGGCGGTTACATTGTGCCCAACTCGAAAAGTGAGAACAGGGGTTGATAGGGACGGTTACGTTGTTCCCAACTCAAAAAAGTGAGGACAGGCGTTGATACGGACGGCTACGTTGTTCTCAACTCAAAAAAGTGAGGACAGGCGATGATGCTGTGTGCGGGAAGCCGAAACGTGGGAGACGCAAAGGATGTTGTTGCACGGGCCGAGCGTTCGGTTGTTAGAACTTTGACAGCTCATATCTCTTGTTGACATTTTGGTCGACTCTCTCATAACACGTCCCCAAGACCACGATGCACATGTATAACCTGCTCCTGAGCTTCTTCGTGGTCTCTGCTCGAAGCGTATTGCTCGATTTATCTTGTTGTCGTCGCATGTCGTGGTGTTTCGCGGCATTGCAGTCGGCGTCGGGCGGAGCTCAGGGATTGGGATTTCGGTACGGCGCAAGCCAAAACTACCTCTGCGAGCAGCGTCCACTGGATCTTGCGTTGCTCATGGCCGACTCCGCTGAAGTTGCACGCTTTGCCTGAACGTTGCTTTTGCGGCTATGCTGAGGATTGCCAGACTTCCCGGTGGTCTTGGGAGGTGGGACCGCCTATAAGACGCTCTCTTTCTTCTTTCTTCTTTCTCTTCCTCTTCTTCTTCTTCATCTTTACGACGCCTTGCAAAAGTACTCGTAAAATTTGCCAAGAAAGCTTAAACTTTTTCGAAGCCAAGAACAACTCAACATCAACCAACCCAAGCACAACTCAACAACAACCCAACAACAACCCAACAACAACCCAACAACAACCCAACTCAAGAGTCCTCAAGAGTCCAACTCAAGAGTCCAACTCAAGAGTCCAACTCAAGAACCCATCTCAAGAACCCAACAACAACCCAACTCAAGAACCCAACAACAACCCAACTCAACAACCCAACTCAACAACCCAAATCACCACCATCAGACGCCAGCATGTCTTGCGGACTCCGACTCCCAAGCCTGTTCAGCTTCTTCCTCAAGAAGAAGCCCAGCACCCAGTTCGACGACCAAGAAAAGCCTTTGCCTTCGCGTAAGGTGAAGCCAATTCTTGGCGTCTATGACATCCATCTGACTTGCGGATGTGTCTGTCACTGGGATGCTGCCGAGCGTCAAAAATTACCAATCAGTTTTCGCTCGGGTGGTAAGATCCAGTTTGACCCCATCCCACCTCATGAGCCTCACTGACCTTGGCTCAGAAGGCAAAGTCTTTGAGACTGTCGGCCGCACCGCGATGCGTCCCCCCAGCGCTGCCGGCGATTGCCCCCTCCACCCCCATGACGATCTCGTCAAAGACCACATCTATGCCATGTGCATTCACCCGCCAGAGGGATCGATGTCGTCTGCGGGGGTGGAGGTCAAGACTGGAAGGCAAGCCTTCGAGATCTTGAGGAAAACGGCACGTCGGCAAGAGACTGAATGATTCTCTGTGAGATCTTCAGGAGAAGCGCGTACTGGCAGTTGTGGCGATCCCACTTCGAGTCAGATGGCGCAGAGCCGACCTTAATTGGGACGCTCGCTAAACATACTGGTCACTCTTTTGGTGTTTTCCAGGGCAAGCGCGTACTGTCAGTTGTGGTGATCCCACTTCGAGTCAGATGGTGCAGAGCCGACCTTCATTGGAACGCTCGCTAAGCATACTGTCCACTCTTTTGGCGTGGTTCAGGGCAAGCGCGTACTGTCAGTTGTGGCGATCCCACTTCGAGTCAGATGGCGCAGAGCCGACCTTCATTGGAACGCTCGCTAAGCATACTGTCCACTCTTTTGGCGTGGTTCAGGGCAAGCGCGTACTGTCAGTTGTGGTGATCCCACTTCGTGTCAGATGGCGCAGAGCCGACCTTCATTGGAACGCTCGCTAAGCAGACTGGCCACTCGTTTGTGCCATGGAGAAGCACGTACTGTCAGTTGTGGCGATCCCACTTCGCGTCAGATGGTGCAGAGCCGACCTTAATTGGAACGCTCGCTAATCATACTGGTCACGCTCGTTGTGCCAGGGGAAGCGCGTACTGCCAGTTGTGGTGATCCCACTTCGAGGCGGATGGCGCAGAGGCGACCTTAATTGGGGACCTCGCGAACGGGATCTGAGGTCTTCTGCCACCTCCAATCATACTGGTCACGCTCGTTGTGCCAGGGAAAGCGCGTACTGCCAGTTGTGGTGATCCCACTTCGAGGCGGATGGCGCAGAGGCGACCTTAATTGGGGACCTCGCAAAGCATACTGTCACTTCTGTGCGCAGGGGAAGCGCGGACTGCCAGTTGTGGTGATCCCACTTCGAGGCGGACGGCGCAGAGGCGACCTTAATTGGGGACCTCGCAAAACATACGCTCTTTGTCGGTGAAGGACATCGTGTCGGACAAGCTGATCGGTCGCAAGGCCGTGACGCATGGGAATGATCCTGGTGGTATCTTCGGGTGCTACTGGGGGACCCAGCTGGACGATGAGTCTGCACCTTCACGTGGTGTCCAGTGTCAGTAGGGATTCGTGTCGACCTCGCCGTCGCACATCCTGAAGCCAAGACAGACTCGATCACAGGTGATGGTATCTTCCTGCATGAACATCGCTGACTTATCTCTTCTCCAGATCTCATCGTCGCATCTTGTCGTGGCCCTCTGCCACACCATCTTCAGCCTCACGGTTGCTGTCGCTGGCTTGTCTTGCCGTGCCGCGCTTGGTCTTTGCTTAGATACTGCCGATGAATTCCACACAGGTAGCTGACTTCAATGATCATGACTTTCTCCACTGCCTTGCTCTTCATGTGTCCTCATCACCGTCATGACCTTCATGCCTCGTTGCCACATCGCATCCTTCGTCCTCTTCATAGTCGTCTCATGTCATCGCACAGCTCGAATGTCGCACGCTGCCACGCCTGCAATCCTTTGTCTAGCCCTGAGCCATCGTACCTCATGCACTTCTATCGTGTAGCAAGACCACGCCACGGTCAATAGTTTGCCTCATATCTAGACCGCCTGTGCACCAGCGCGTGACTTCTCGCAAATTCGATATCTTCCCGTTGTCGACCTGTGTCTGACTGCACAAGAGCAAAGCGGCTCTCTGTAAGTCACGATGAAACAGCGGCAGTCAGGTCACGAGAGACAGCAAAAGCACGCGAACTGTGCAGCAGCGTGAAGGGAAGACTTTCATATACATCCACGTCGTGCTCTGCGCCAGATGTAGCTGTCTTCGTCTCCTTCGCAACGCAGCATACATGCTTATGCCTACGTGAATTGCACATTTACACCATATTCTGCTGCCTCAGCTAGGACAACAAAACCTAGGTACTCACAGTCCTTGCAAGGGCCGAAGAGAGGCGCGCGGTCGCAGACAGTGACTGTCAGGCTGCACAAAGTGAAAACTCTGACAAGCATCCACGATGCAGAAGGCCGTCGATATCACGACACATTCAGCCAGAAACATCATGACATGCTAGGCACTGGATGACTCTCGTGGTTTACGCTCTGAGACTGTGCACTTGACATGTGCTAAATTGTCGCGTGCGGTAGCAGACAGTGACAAGCATCCACGATGCAGAAGGCTTGTGACATCGCGACACATTCAGCCAGAAACATCATGACATGCTAGGCACTGGATGACTCTCGTGGTTTACGCTCTGAGACTGTGCACTTGACATGTGCTAAAGTGTCTCACCATCTCGTCAAACTAGTCGACAACATGCACGCGTGAGGCACACAAGTATCAATACGCTCGGCTACACGATTGCTGCACTGCAACCATATCTCACCAATCTTAGCAAAGACTGCTCGTGGGTCATAACGCAGGATAACGCGGCAACGTGTTGACTACCAAGCGCTCAGATGAGCTTCGTCGCCACGCGACTTGCTTGTATTCCATCATTTGAGGCCATCATATCGTGTCGGCCTACGCGTAGACTTGTTTCGGCAAATCTGATTTTGCTCGGGATGTCGTGTCTATGGCGATGGCACTGACTTGTAGCGCGTTGGTGGTGCCGAGTGCCAGGTTCGAGAAGCATCATGAGCAAGGCTATGCAGCACGCGAGAGATTCCACCTGGCCGTCCTTCACCAATAGCTGATATATCGCGGTCTCGAATGCTACGGGTGGTCTGCCCAAAATGCTTCAGCAGTACCACTGTGCAAATCGTACTCTTTGTGGCTAGCGGGAAGAAGCCGAAAGAAGAATCATGACGAAGGCGAGATAACGTCTTGGTTGTGGTCCTTTGGAAGGTTGAATGTGAGGCCTGAGTGGTTTTTCTTGTTTCGTGATTTCCGTTCTGTTTTGGTTTCTTTTTTTTGTCTTTTTTTTTCTTAATTTATCATAGTCTTTTTTCTTTTTCTTTTGGTGTTTGTCTTGTTTTGGTCTTTTTTCTTTGTTCTTTGTTCTTTCCAGTCTCTGGAGGAAGACGCTGGCGTTGCGTTCTGATCTCTTTTCATCCTGGAGTGATGCAGTCTTTCGTCTCCCGTCTCGGAGAAGCCTCTCTTAACAGAGATACTCCTGCTAGCTTATCACAGCTCCAGCCGATGATGCTGGTCCCGTGAACACGGCGTATCGGTGATCACGGGCAGTCCCACAGTCTTGCGAGAGATGGCAGTAGTCCGGGAAGGACTTCTAGTTGCGTGGGAAGTCATCGAATTTACACGCTTTGATGCTGGCGATGGGTAGAGCCAGCTCTTCTGATGAGTGCCCGATGGATGGCTTGAATCGGGACGTGAAGTTGAAGTGCTAAAATGTCGTTGATGGCAGATATCATGACTTCTGGCCCGAGGATTCCGCGACTTCTACGTGTTAGTCTTCTAATATTGCTCGCTCGTACGTCTTCGAAGTTCGTTTCTCGTCCGCTCAACGAACGAGCAGATATCTGAAGAGGCTAATCACACAGTCGGCAATGCTACATGTAGCTGTATACCAAAGGTCTGATTACAGTGGATCGTCACTCTCATCAACCACACAGCGACGGCACTGTGTTGACTAGAGTCATGGTAAGTGAATCCATACTGCGCTAGGCTGAATTGGGTAGGACGTGGAGACGGCTTTTCGCGTGTTTCTAGAAAGAAACGCGAGCTTGACGAACAAGTTGGAAGAAGAAAGACGACACATCACAACAACACACAATCATGGTAGGCCAAACCAACTCTACTCGTACTTGCCGATCGGTGTACTAATCAAGCGGTAGTCTCAACAAATTTTCGAAGATGGCGGCGAGCAAGAGAGAGGAGAGCAGGCTCGTCTTAGGCATGTGCTACCACGCAAACAGAACTCAGAGAATATGTACTGACTGGAATCACAGCGCCTTTGTAGGAGCGATTGCAATTGGTGACCTCGTCAAGTCCACATTAGGTCCAAAGGGGCAGGACAAGGTGAGCAGCGAGCTACTTGAGGCAGTCTGAACGAGGACTGATGCTCCCAGATTCTCCAAAGTGCCTCGACGGGCCAGATCATGGTCACCAACGACGGCGCTACCATCCTGAAGAGCGTTGCCCTCGACAATGCCGCTGCCAAAGTGCTGGTCAACATCTCGAAAGTGCAGGACGACGAGGTAGGAGATGGAACAACCAGTGTCGCAGTCCTCGCAGCCGAACTTCTGCGCGAAGCCGAGCAGCTCGTCAACCAGAAAATCCACCCACAGACCATCATCGAGGGCTACCGAATAGCGAGCGCCGCCGCTCTGCAAGCACTAGAAGAGACCGCAGTAGACCACAGCTCGAAGCCCGAAGAATTCCGCAAAGACCTGATCGCAATCGCTCGCACGACTCTCTCCTCGAAGGTGCTGTCGCAAGACCGAGAGTACTTCGCCACTCTCGCGACCGACGCCGTACTACGAATGAAGGGCTCAACAGACTTGACGCACATCCAGATCATCAAGAAGGCTGGCGGCAAGTTGTCAGATTCATACCTCGACCCGGGCTTCATTCTTGACAAAAAGTTTGGAACGGGGCAGGTGAAGAGAGTGGAGAATGCCAAAATCTTGGTCGCAAACACATCAATGGACACGGACAAAGTGAAGATCTTTGGTGCGAGAGTCAAAGTCGACGGGACAGGGAAGCTTGCTGAGCTGGAGAAAGCTGAAAAGGATAAGATGAAGGCAAAGGTGGAGAAGATCAAGGCACATGGCATCAATTGCTTCGTGAACAGGCAGCTGATCTACAACTGGCCGGAGCAGCTTTTCACAGACGCGGGCATTGCGTCAATAGAGCATGCTGATTTCGATGGTGTAGAGAGACTGGCGCTGGTGACTGGAGCAGAAATCACGAGCACATTCGATCATCCGGAGCACGTCAAGCTGGGACATTGCGATCTCATCGAGGAGGTCGTGATCGGGGAGGACAACTTGATCAGATTTTCGGGCGTGGCTGCCGGACGGGCTTGCACAATCGTCCTTCGTGGATCGTCAGAACAGCTGCTCGATGAGGCTGAGCGCAGTCTGCATGATGCTCTTGCCGTTCTATCACAAACTGTCAAGCACCCCAAGACGACGCTAGGAGGTGGCTGCGCAGAGATGGTCATGTCGAAGGCTGTGGACCAGGCTGCGCAGAATGTTGCAGGCAAGAAGGCTCTTGCTGTTGATTCTTTCTCAAAGGCTCTTCGACAGCTCCCCACAATCCTGGCCGACAACGCTGGTTTGGACTCTGCCGATCTTGTCGCGAGATTACGCAAGGCCATCTACTCGGGCATGTCTTCGTCTGGTCTCGACTTGATGAAGCCTGGAGGTGGTATCGCCGACATGCGCGAGCTGGGAATCATCGAGGCACACAAGCTCAAGCACGCTGTTGTCAGCTCGGCGAGCGAGGCCGCGGAATTGCTGTTGAGAGTTGACAACATCATTCGTGCCGCACCCAGAAAGAGGGAGAGAATGTGAGCTACTCAGATGGACTTGTCACTGGAACTCGCATAGCGCTGGAGTTTGGCAACACAACAAAAGCTTATGTGTACGGCACCATGATAGCACGAGGAGATTGTGCTGCTTACTATATACCACTGCCGAGACGCTGCGTAGCTACATGATGCATGAAAATGTGGTTATGAATGACATCCGAATCTTCATTTTACCAGCCGTCAGAAACGCCCGACTAGTATCCCGAGTTGATGCATATGGGAATCACGTACGAGTCAGGAACATCGTCTTGCCGAGACTGCAGGCAGAGCCGTTGGCTGCTTTCTGCCTCGACATCAGATTCTCCAATGACCTGTATACTATGCCATTTGAGCAAATAGGACAATTGAGCAGAAGATTGGTATTAGCTTACACTGATCTTACCACATGATTCATTATGTTAGTGTTGTTTCCATATCCTGCAGACAGTGTTGTGCTTCTGGAGATCTGTGTCATCTTTCTCCAAAAGGTCCATATCACGAAAACATGTAATTCGGTCAAATTGATCGAGACATGTATTCCATATGGAAATAGTAAGTTGACTCCTTGGAAACTTCCCAAACATACATGAAGTACTAACCACAGATACAATATCCATTCTGGTGTCCATAGAAAAAAACTCGACATCAAACAAAAGTTGACCTATATATTTACGAAACCTATACCAAACGATCCGCCTAAGCGAGCGCAATACGCTAATACCTATATCGTCGAACCGCCGCGAGAAGCTACCTCGCTGTCGCCGAAATAGACGAAACGTCGTACTAGCTACTAAATAGGCTACTACTACCTATATAACTAGAATACCTACAAGAGATACTTATTACTACCTAACTATTTAAGAAACACTACGACGACCTCCGGGAATAGTACTACGCTAATAGAGCGAGAAAGATAACTAAGAAGGTACTTCTAGAGGCAGTAGAAGACCTCGTCTTAATAGGCCTTAAGTACGCGTCGAGGGTCGAGGAATATGTTAATACCGATATATAACAGGCGGTATAGGAGTTAAAGACAGAGGTCCTTGTCCTAAAGTACCTATAGTAGGATACCTTAAGCGCGGTAAAGTATCGTCCGAGAGATAGGTCCCTTATATAGCGAGAGGTTTTTACTGCCTACTAGGACGCTATCTCGGAGAGCGTTAGCCTCGCGACAATAAGCAAAGTACTAATAATCTAAGGATACAATAAGCAGACTCCGATCGAAGAGCTAACGGTACGAATTAAAGTAACGGCGAAATATATTTAAGAGGTACTAAGGGCGATAAAGGGACCTTTTAGATTAAGAAACTCTATTAACGACGTCCTTAAAGCTAACGATATACTAGTCTAGATTACGGTAGTAGCCTAGCTACCCTTAGGCGACCTCGACCTCTACTTCGAGAATAAAAGCGACTAAGAAACATTTATCCGAAACGCTATACTATACCTAAACACTCTAGCGGGAGCGACGATATCGATACAAACGTACCTAGTACTTATCTATAGAGTTAGTACTAAATCAATTAAGCTTGATATAGTAGGAATAAAGAGGACGATTGCTATAATCCTTATACAAAACGCGACAACGATACTACGAGCGGCGATTATATATATTAAATAGCTTAGTAAGAAGATATTAACGAAGGAGAAGAGCTTGCTTATTGTATACTTTACGTACCTAGAGGATGCTAATACTATTATTCGAAGAGGCCTTAGATAGGTAGGCAACCTACTAATAGCTAAAAAGTTTAACAATATGTCGGTAGTAGTCTAGTGTCTAAACTACTAAAATTACGGATATATTAGAACCCGGTACCTATAGCTAACTCGATACGTACTCTGTATAGGGAATTACGAGAAGAAGTATTATATTAAAGGGACCCTAATCAAATGTATATTGTACGATAGGAGCTATTACGCTTAGAGTAATAAATGCCCTAAGCAAAGAGAGGTATATAAGAAGGCAAAGGAAAACCGCTCGTAGGATATAAGATATAAGGTAATAAAACCGAGATTACTACTAATAAGGGATAGACAGGAAGTAGAAATCGGATAGAATGTAGGCGATAGCTAGAACCCCGAAATTCTAGGACTAACGCTAAGCAACGGATTGTTTACTCCGCTAGATACCGAGACACTAAGCTAGGACGCGTCGCGTAAATCAAGGGACGCGACTTAAAACAACAATTCAACTACCGACTTAGAAGGCATAGCGACAACGATAGCGACCTCGCCCTATCTACGAAAAGCACTACCTAAACCGAGCCTAAGCAAGAGTATACCGATCGAAGAGGGAGCCTTAACGGAAGTTTAGTAAGTAATCTAGTAGGTAGAGAAGGTTACGAAGGCTCTAGCCTACTAGATATAGTAACTATAAGCGGTAGTAAAGATTACAAAGAAACGAGTAGGACTCGAGGTTATAGTATTAGACTACTACCTAAACGGAGTAGAGTCAAGCGTAGACTTAGGCGCTATAACGGACTTAATAGGTTACCTCTCGGTACTCGAAGAAAACCTAAGAACCTCCTCCCTACAAGGCAAAGCTATCGAAGCAATCTACGCTAAAACTAGGTTAGACATTAGACAACAAAAGCGAAAGTACGTAGAAGACCTTAATAGGGAAGCAAAGCGCCTAAGGAAGAGACGCTAGACTGCAAGACTAATTAACGCAAAACTAATTACCTTAAGCAAAGAAGGCGAACCGGCCTCCTACGACTCCCGCTTCGATAGTACCGACCTAAATAGGCCTATACCGAGGAAAGAATAGTAGCTATATAGGGAGGAGAGAAGGTAGTAGATATACGAGAGGATAGCTAGAGGGGAGGCTATACTATCGGAAGGGGAATCGGACCTACCGAGGGAGGAGACTAATTAAAGATCCTTTAATACAATGTAGACAAGAGCTACGAGATTATAACGCTCTTGTTCGCAGCGGAGGAGATTAACTCCTACGATATTATCGCGATCTAGGAGCCCTACCTAAATACGATAAACGTAGGATATGTCCTTACCTACTACCCTAACCCTAACAACTACTATCTAGTCTTCTTAGGAATAGAAGAATCTAGGGTAGCTACTTTCGTTAACAAACGCTAGACGATAACCTAATAGATACTCGTCCTAAACGAATCGTACCTTACTAAGATTACCCTCTTTAGCTAGAACCTAACTACTTTCATAAATGTATACTAGCCTCCGCTCCTTAACTATAACGAGGTTATACTATATATATTAGAACAGATCCTTAACGATATAATAATACTAGGCGACTTTAACGTACACTACCCTAAATAGATACCGGGACGTTAAGCAAACTTTAGAGGGAACGCCTTAAAGCAAACTACAATAGTAAGGAAGCTAAAGCAAGTAGTAAGACTAGGCTTAATAACGAGGAGGGACGCGAGGGGTAGAAGGGACTCGACGCTCGACCTAATATTCTATTTAGAATCTATCGACTTTATTTAATACTAGATAGGTAGAGATAATAACTAGTAGTTAGATTATCTACCTATCGAATCCCTCTAGCGCTTCTCCTTTATACCGATAGCGAACGAGGAGATTAAAAGATTCAAATAGAGGGATACAGATAAGGAGAAGCTAGTAATGTCTCTCGCTAATATTAACCTAGAGGCCCTCGAGACCTCTAAAGAACTTAACCGAGCGACGGTATACATTTAGGCTACCCTCTAAGCTATAATTAACGACGCTGTACTAACGAGCAGAATTAAGCTAGGACGAACGAAAAGAGGTTTTACGCTAGCGCTAACCAACCTACGACGTAGAATTAAGGCAAAGAAGATAGCTCTCGTATACCTAGAGAGACTAGACGACGATAACCTAGTAGTACTAGACTATAAGGAGTTAAAGAGAGAGTATATTAAGCAGATTAGGATATAGAGAAGGGATAGTTTTCGGGCGGATATAAAACAGGCGGACGGGAATATAAAGCACCTATAGAAGATAGTTAAGTAGAAGAAGAATTAGGGACAGCCGAGACAAATACACTTACCTACGTTGACGCTTAACGGAACGATAGCGACAGATAGCTAGGTAAAGGCGTAATTGCTATAGACGAGCTTCTTCCTAGAATAGAGAACTACCGACCTTACGGATATAACGCCCGATTACCTATACCCCGAGCCGGTCGAAATACTAGATATTACCTTATACGAAGTCTAGCAAGCTATAAAGAACATAGCAACAGGAAAGGCGCTAGGCCCTAACCTAATACTAGCCGAGATCCTTAAGAAAGCGATAAAACCAAGAGAATAAGATAACGGCGACAAAGAGCAGGAGCCGACTCCCTTCTATATAGCCCTTACCCGACTCTTTAACGTATTATAGAACCTAGGATACTATCTAAGAGCCTTCCGTACCTTAACGACAGTCGTACTCTAAAAGCTAGGCAAAGACCTATTAGGCCTAAAGGGTTACCGGCCTATAGCACTGCTTAATACGATAGGTAAGGCTATAGAAAGTATTATCGTATAAAGAATACATTAGGCATTCGAACAATACTAGGTACTCCTAAGGGGACACTTCGGAGGACGAAAGGGCTATATAACTAATAAGGCAATTTATACGTTGATTAAGCTAATAGCCGATACCTAGGAAAGAAGAGAATATACCTTAGCAATAGTATTAGATATCTCCGGAGCTTTCGATTATACCTCGTACCTAAGGCTCCTCTATAACCTTAAGAAGAGGAAGCTAGGAGGGAAACTTAGGCCTTATTTAGGCCTCGTCATGGGTTGGGTTGGGTATAGGTTGGGTACAACCCAACTTAAATACCCAACCCTACAAATAAGCTGGGTACCTAGCTTATAAGCGGGGTACAACCCAACGGTAAAAACCCAGTAGGTATACCCAATAGGTATTGCAATAGGTATTACATAATACGAGTTGAATACCTACAAAATAGTAGAAAGAAATATTAATAAGGGATATATACCTACTACCTGATTCCTAGAGCGTAGAATTTGATAGGAATATATTCTATGTTTATTGCAGCTGCCGACCATATATACCGACTATATATACCAATCAAAAAGGGATTACCAGAATAATAAGGGAAGCTCTAACCAATTGATTATAGTTATAAGCTACTATATACTAAGGATAGAAACTACCTTAGTTCTTAGTAAGTAGCTGAGCATCTAGAGCAGCTTGCTCCTTTGCTTACTACTTCAAGGCCTCTACCTCAGCGTCTTGTATCTTTTAATAAGCGTAAAGTTAATCCTCGAAATTCAGCCGCTGCCAACGATAAAACTGACGCGCAATTTTCTTTACGTCTCCCTCGAGAGTTTCCTAAGCAAGGCGTAAGCTATCTTCTGAACGCTCTTTCGCAACAGTAAGCGCGTAAGCTGCCGCTACCAGCTCATTAGCATAGGCTTCTAGCCTCTACTTAAGAGTTTGCTTATCATCGCTAGAATCATTATCTAGCTCTTCTTAATCATAACTAGCTTAAAAGTCTCGACCTTAGACATCTTGATCTCGGACATCTTGATCTTGCTTATCTTGTTCCTGCTCATCTTTATCCTGCTTATCATCGTCCTGCTTATTATCTAGGAGTAGCGGAGTATTATCCTAAGCTATTAAATTAGTATATTATAATTAATAATAAAAGAGTAACTTACTAAGAGTTGCCTGCTAAGCAGTAGTATCCTCGCTATTATTGTTTTCCACAGTCGGATTCTAAGTAGCGTCTAGCATATCCTCGTCAGAATCGTCTTCAACGATTCGTCGAGGCTGCTTAGTTGGGAGAGGCTTGCATTTTGGCGTAGCCTTTGCTTTCAGCGCCTTAGTAGCCTTGTTCTTCTTTGGCTCTATATAGATAAAATTAGGATTGACAGGACCAGAATTGTAAGGGCAGACTACGAAATCGTTAGGCCAAATACCCTACTCCTTAAGAAGCGAGCGAAGACACTCTATATCTTTGCCTTAGAGTATAACGCGCTTAGCGTAGATAGCCAAAAGGTTGGCCGCTAGAGGAGGTAAGTAAGTAAGTAAATAATCAGAAAGAATAAGAAATAGGAAGACTTACAGGTAAAGATTCTTACTAAGAGAGACTCAGCATATTCTTGAAGAACGCCAAGAGCGCTTGCTTGAATGCGAAGAGGTATATAAGCCTGATCTATAACGAGCTCCTTAATAAGTCTAGCAAATAGGGTTTTCTTAATATAGAGCAGGCTCTCCTTCTAGCACTTCCTGATCTCTTTAAGAGCCAATACTTTAAGAAAGTTAGTACCGACTACAAATGCCGACTACAAATACCGACCACAAATCTGGATTCTGGAATTACTTACTACCTAGGGCATATCTATGTCCCTTCTTGATACGAGTGCCTAGAAGCTTTTTACTACCTATACGCGAAGGAAGTCCCTTTCTACTAGTACGAGGAGTCTTACGTACGATCGATTGTTTACGCTTCTACGCAATCGACATTGCCGAGGCCATTATAGTAGATTGGTACGCTGGTATAGTATAGTAGCGGTAGTGTAGTGTAGTATAGTAGTATAGTGTAGTGTAGCGGAGGTAGTGTAGTGTAGTATAGTATAGTAGAGGTAGTAAGGAGAGAGAGAAAGGAAGGGGGCAATATTGATATAGTAAGTTAGGTTTTTTCTGAAGTAGAGAGTAACTTTATATTGTTGGGAGACAACCGCTCGGCCAATTAGAGGCTACGGATTGTTTGCTGCCTAAGTAATAACATATACGTACTTCATACGAGATCCAAATAAGGTTTGCGTACGTAATCTTTAATTGCCGGGAGTAACCGGCAGGCACGGTTAGCAGGTACAGTCGGTAGGTACGGTCGGCAGGTACGGTCGGCAGGTACGGTCGGCAGGTACGGTCGGCAGGTACGGTTAGCAGGTACGGTCGGCAGGTACGGTCGGTATAGGTAGTAAATATCATCGGAAAGTCTTCTCGGTAGGAGTCCTAATCCTTTCCCTAAGACATGGTTAGCAGACATGGTCGGCAGACATAGTCGGCAGATATAGTCGGCAGATTCCTAAAAGCTTAAAAGTCATCTTTTCCGTTATTTTCCCCTAGGAAGCGCTTCCGAATCTATCGACAAAGTACTATATCCTTTTGCTACAACGTTACTCGTTTCGCATATATTGCAAGCATATTAGAGACTTCGAACTCAAGTATAAGAAACGCTTCCGTCGCTTCCTGTAGACAGAGGAGGGCCTCTGCTTAGAACCGGTATACGCTACTCGAAGATTTACTTACGATATCTATAGTAACTTCCCGACAGATCCTCTAGAATAGTAGTCGACGTATTAACAGCTCGGTCGTCTTCTAGTATCTCCTAATCTCGCGAAGAGCAGCTACACTAGGCTTTGTTCGTCGCTTAGTTCTCGCTTTAGGTACCTTTCGTATTATAGGCTTCTTCTGCGGCCGTTAACTCCCTATCGGCCTCTTATTCCCTAGATAGGACTTTTTCGCGACTAGTTTCGTACGTCCCCGCCTCCTTTCGGCGAGGCTTTTACTTAGTCTAGGAGAGGCTGTCGGTTGAGGTGGTTGTCGTATACGCCGCCTAATCGGTATATCCGAATCTTCGCTAGTCTCCGGACTATAGATTACTGGACCTGTACCTTGATTTACTTGCCTTTCTTCCTTCTCTCCGCTATAATTAGGATTATAGATTACTCCCGCAGTACCTTGAGTTGCCTGCTTATCCTCCTTCTCTCTGCTATAATTAGGATCGTAGATTACTTTTGCGGTACCCTAAGTTCCCTGCTTTTCTTTCCCCTTTCCGAGATAGGATATCTTTTCGAGCGGCTCTATTCGTTCCTCCTATGTCCTATCTAACCACTTCTGAGTCCTTATATCAGTTCCGCTATCAAAAGCAGCCTTCGGAAGCCCTCTAGGTCTCGATTGTTCGTCCTGTAGTAAATCGAGTCTATAGTCGAGTTGGTCGTCGTTATCCCTAGGGAGGGAGGCAGAGACGTAGGTAGAGAGGGAAACAGTATCCATATTAGGCATTTTGAGAGCTTTGAGTATGTCTCGGTAGATTAACAAAGTTGACGATAGAGAAGAAAAGAGAGAAGGAAAATACGGGGGGTATAAGGAAAACCCGGAGTTTGCTAAGGCGCTTATCTCGAGAGTATATCGGATCTCGCGGGAAGGTAATTAGTAATCTATACAGGGATTCTATATATATCCTAAGGCCGCTAGTAGGATATACGACTTATACGCCGACCACGTCTGCCGAACACGTTCTTCTATAGCTGTAGGACCTATTGTTTTCTCTAGGGCGTATATATAATTTAGACG